TATAAACAAATACTACATACTAGGGGTGTAACGGTACACGTATTCATACCGAACATTTTCAGTATGGGTCTTTCGGTTCGGCATGCATGTGTACCGAACATATACAGCTCTGTTTTAACCACTGGAAACTTCCAGTTTTATATATTGTTACCTTTGATAAGAAACAAAGTCTCATTTTCAAATTATGTCCATTTTGTCAGGAAATTCGAACAATAAATGCGACAGATCACTGTATAAACGCCTCAGTTCAAATGGCAGCGCGATCATCCCTTCCTCTTTACTACTAGATTTAAAGGCACAATATGTAATTTTCGCCGCTAGAGGGCACATATTCAAAACAAACAAAGAGACAAAGGCGTAGTTTGATGACTTTGTGACTGAGTGTGGAATCATGGGAGTTGTGGTCTTCATCTCCACAGCCGACGCAATCCGATGGGACTCGGGCAGAAATCATGTTCATGGATGAGCTAATGGATTTATTAACGTAGTAGAATGAATCAGGGTGAGGCTGAAAGCCGTCGAAGTGAAACGAGGCCGCTGAACAAGCGTGACACACGGCTCGAAAGCAGTGGAGCTTTTATTATGCCACAGTCGACCGCTTCCGCTCCTTCCGGTCGTGCGTATGTGGGGTAAAGCAGCGGAGCTTTTATTATGCCACAGTCGACCGCTTCCGCTACTTCCGGTCGTGCGTATGTGGGGTAAAGCAGCGCTGTTTTATCATACTAGATACATTTGAGAGTTCTGTTATACTGCTACTCTGTGTGGTCGTCACCGGTCTATTAAAACACACAACATATTAAAGCGTCTTTGGTGTTTCCATGTTTTCTACAAAACAAAACCGGAAATCGAGGGGTTATGACGGCATTGGCAGGCGACACAATGACACTATGGACACGGTCCGTGTCACTAGTTAAAATTGCTTATTTCTCTGGATTTAAACATTCTTCGAAACATTTGGGATAATGTAAGTACACAAGTCAGCAAAATATATAACACTGTTCTAGTGGCTTTTGGATATTTTAATGAAAAAAAACTTGAAATAAACATGAACGAACATCTCATGCATCATGTAATCGCTCAATCAGTGTTTCAACCGCGGAAAGACGGCAATAAAACAGCTTGTAACCAAAGTGTAGCATTTCATTAACTCAAGTCATCAGTGTCCACAGCTCGTTAGTGTGCTATAAATAAAGTCTAGAGAAGAGCATTTCGCGAAATATTAGACTATATACTCGTTACATTTTACTTTACCTGTTAGTGATGGCTTAATTATTAAATGTGTGTTTAAATAAATCTGTTATGAATTAAGTTATGAGAGCCAATGTGAAAATTATTATATTTCAACAACAAATATACATTTTATCATTTAGAAGTTAATTAAAAAACTGCATTATGTGCAATTTACATGTTTGCATATACATATATTTTTAAGTTGAGTGTTATATTTAAAAATAAATAACTGAATTTAAGTTTGGGCTCTGTTGTTTATTGTAACATTATAGTAATGTTAAAGGGCTCACTATGGAAACTACTAAGAAAATGTAAATTATAATTAAATGTATTTAAAGAAAGAGGATTTTAAAAAAAATAATTATTAAACCAGTTTAATAAAAAAATAAAAAAATAAAGCAAGCTTTTAGTTTTTCCCCCTGCTGTATCAAACAGTGACGTCGAAAGCGAGGTACGTACCGAACCGTCATGTTTGAGTACCGTTTCACCCCTACTACACACATAACCTAGTGAACTATAAACAGATAGATTAGTGGTGTACCTGCACTATGGGGAGAATGTTGACCAGCGGGGCACTTCTGCTGTCCTCCAGAGAGACTGGAGCTACAAAACTGAAGCCTTTGAAGAGCTGGTGAGCGTTTGCACTGGGGGGAATGCCTGGAGAATCTGCCAAACACACACAAAAACACAACTCAAGCCTTCAACGGCATCTCCAGCAGCAATATCTGAACAGCACTAGCTCTCGTCTCCATTGCACCTTTGGGAGTTTTGGCTGTGAATTCTGGGTCGAAGCAGAAGGTGTCGTCTGGTTTCCCTGCAGCAGGTTTGAATGGAGGCTGAAGTTCTCTTCGGTACAGTTTCTACAATCACAAACAATAAACACATGCTATACACTCATATAATATGTTCCTCCTGCCACACGTGAAAAAGGTAAAGACTGAAGTTAACATGAATCAGCTTTAACAACCCATGGTACGTGTGACAGAGTCCGCAGGACATTCTGGACTGGATTTGGTTTCTAATGATAATGGGGTCAGAGCTGAAGGTGAGTTTGCAGTGGACAGTGAGGCATCATGGGCCACTGAACGCCTCTCCACATCCTTTTCAACTCTTATTTGCTAAGAATACCGTTACAATCTTCATCACATTTTCAGAAAGGCTGCATTACCTACAACAGTAACCTAAAAGAAACACTAGTAAGATACTCATCATCTACTGATTAAAAAAGAAGAAGAAAAGTCGTTTCAGAGGTGGAGCGAGTTACATTTTAATTGAAGATCATGAAGTTTTCTTTTTTTCTTTGGAATAAAATAAGATGCTTTTACATGTACAGACTATGCAAATTCAAGCACATCTTTCTGTTTAGTGCTTACATGTTAGAAAACACTGGTAAATCAGCCACGGCAATATCTCAAGATTAGAAGCAACATTATACATTATCAAGCTCAGTTTTGACACTGTGTGCAAACAAAGCCATAGGATTAATGGGTTGAGCACAAAAGGTTAGGACACTCTGACGTAACAAGGCTGCTGTCAAGCAGTGCGTCAAAATGAAATCACTTTGATTGCTGTTGCGATGTGCCTTCAGTTGATAGACATTTACATTACATTTAGTCATTTAGCAGACACTTTTATCCAAAGCGACTTACAAATGAGGACAATAGAAGCAATCAAAACCAACAAAAGAGCAATGATATGCAAATGAGAAGTCTCGGTTAGCCTAACACAGTACACGTAGCAAGGTATTTTATATATATACATATATATTAGGGCTATCAATCGATTAAAATATTTAATTTTGTCATGAGTTTGTCATGAGTTAACTAGTGATTAATCGCAACTTAATCGCGCATTTTTATCTGTTGTAAATGTACCTTAAATTAATACTTTTCACGTTTTTAATACTCTAATCAACATGAGCATGGACAAATATGGATGATTTATGCAAATGTATGTTTATTATTAGTGAAACCATACTCAGCATAGAGCATGAAGACTAGACATGTTTCATAGGTCATAGATGTTTTTCAAAGAACTTGTTCATGTCTATTAGACACATGAAAACATAGAAATACCAGGTTCCCATTACTTCTTTCTTTGCACCGAGCAATTTACTTACACAAGCCTGTTCACATTATTTGCAGGAGGGGCAGCTCACTTCTTCTGAACATGCAAAATGTACATTTATTATTTATTAATACATTTGTTTGCCTCTGTGCCCACATACTGTAATTTACTGAACCTTAAGTTCATCTGAACAAATAAGTTTTAAATGTATGAAGAGGCAGAAAAAAAGACACAAAGCCATATGATGTTTTACTGCAATTTAACGGGGTTCATGCATGAAAGTGGCTAAAGTCTGCACAGTAAGAACAGGAGCGTGAAGAGGCTCATTATGATTTGATGCTGACTAAATGTAATCTGTGACTGATGGGATCTCTCTGGGAAGCGGTTATTCTCCTCTTCATGGTCAGTGGATCAGCATTTGGTGTTTCAGACGCTCCTGGCTGTGATCATTAGTCAAACACAGCTTGATCCGGCAGCCACACACACACACACACACACGGTCA